GTCTAAGCGTGAGGAGATGAAGGTGTGGAGAACTGTCGCAAGTTCAGAGCGGGACAGGATGGGACTCAGCTTTGCAATGTTCCTGAGATGGAAGAAGGAAGAGCGAACAAGAGAACTGACATGAGAATCCAGGGTGAGAGCTGGGTCAAAGGTCACACCAAGATTCCTGACAGAAGGTTTGGTGTGAGAAGCAAGCTGACCAAGAGAGTCTCTGACTTTGGGAACCAGCTTGTCTGGGGCACAGATGAGGATCTCAGTCTTATCTTCATTCAGCTGAAGAAAGCTCCCAGCCATCCAGGTTTTAATAGAGTCTAAGCAGGTGTGTAACAGCTGCAGCTTAGACATCTCATGAAGCTTAAAGTAGATGTACAGTTGGATGTTATCTGCATAAAGATGGTAGGAGATTCCTTTGAAGGAGCTCAGGATGTGCTGAAGAGGGAGCAGATAGAGGAGGAAGAGCAGAGGCCCCAGCACAGAACCTTGTGGGACACCATGAGTAAGGGAGGTGGTGGAGGACATAAACTTTGAGACGGCCACAGAAAAGGAGCCCTCAAAAAGATAAGAGGAGAACCACTCCAGAGCAGTTCCTGATAGGCCTACCCAGTCTCTCAGCCTCTCCAGTAGCAGGTGATGGTCAACAGTGTCAAATGGTAGTGTTAAACAGCACCTTGGGGTTCCCTTTGCTCTGGGACACCAGGTTGGAGAAATAGGATGTCAGAAGATCCTTTAGGTGCAGCAGATGGACGTGGAGATGGGTTTTCTTCCACAAATGCTCAATTTTTCTGCATTGGCGCTTCAGTCTGCGAAGTCTGTCAGTAAACCAGGGAGTAGGGTTCACTGCAGGAACTGATCTGGTTCTGACAGGACAGATGTTGTCCAGAATGGAGAGGCAGTGCTCGCTAAACTGAGAAGTTAATGAGTCTGGGTTATCAGAAGAACAGGGTGGATCAAAAGCAGCAGAAAAAGTGCTAGCTGTGCTCTCATTAAGAAAACGAGAACTAACCATACGGCGAGCAGGAGGTGGGGATGCAGAAACTGACAAGTTAAAGAAAATGCAATGGTGATCTGAAATATAAACGTCCTCAGGACAAACACTGTCAGCATTTAGACTCAGGGTAAAAACAAGGTCTAGCGTGTGCCCCCTGGTGTGTGTGGGGCCAGAAACATGCTGGGTAAAGATGAAGGACTCCAGAGTCTGCTCTTTGATATTCTTTCATGCTCGTTGCATGAATGTGGCACGACGTGTTCACAACCTCAACCGTATCAAATCATTAAATAAGGATAGGTTACTGTCATTAAATAGACTTTAGAGCTTGTTCAGCGCCCCTCCAGACATCCACAGGTTTACTGGTCTTAAACCTAACTGCTGATGGATGGCTTTAATTTGGAGCTGGGAAATTACAATGCTAATCTGAGACAAATTATCACGGAAAGTCAAATTAGACTTCAGATTTTTTTTTCTGCTTTCACTCTCTGTCTTCCTCCCTCTCTTCCTCTTTGTCGCTCTCTCTCATGTTAGATTTGAGGCTGCAGTGTAATTTTCTCCTTACATAACAGAAGGGAATGAAGAAACGGTGAAATTAATGAAGGCAGGAGCCACCTGGTAATGAAGGCCATTTCACAATCCAGCTCGAGCAGATTGCTGTGGGTCAGTTTATGTCCCCATCAGTCTGCATGAAAGGGTGGAGACATCACAGGCAGATTTGGAAAAATACGCTAAAGGATTTTAGATTTCAAATATCTTTTTTTGACAGAATCCACGTGCGTCCTTTGATGAATTTGTTTGATTTTCCTCTTCTTGATAAAGTTGTGAATCCACCGTTTTTGTCTTTGTTCACAGCTTTCATTTTTGTGATGGGAGTAACAGCTTTGTCTGCACTGCACAACCTACTATTACAATGTGCGATGTAATGTTTTGGCAGAGGTGGGTGTTACTCTTGTTAATAAGAGGCCTGTTCGAAATTCCACAGAAGGAAAAAGTTCACAGTGTTTCCATTGTCACGACTGTTGGAAAACCAGGGAGAGATGCGGCAGTGAGCCAGCAACCAGACATCATCCGTGTTGTTTTTTAGTAATATGAATGTTTTTGCTTCTCTTTTCAAAGTTCAGAATTTGTCGCTTATGCAGCGTTAGAATTTGCAGGAATTGGTCGATATCGATAATCAATAAATAACCCTTTTAGTCAATTTTTGATGTTCTCTAGTATTATAAATTGAGATTAGAAAATATCAGGAGTCCTCTGACTCTGAAAAGTGCTACAAGAGCTGGATTATTTTTATATATAGTTTAATTTTCAAAAGTTGAATATGACATCAGACATTACATAACTGTTTTGGATTAATAAAAGAGGTTTTATATTAAACTAAAGTCTTCCAGCATCACAGCAGAACAAAACTCACTAAAACAGGCATTGGAATATAAATTCTCAAACTTTCTCTGCTTGTTTCAGATAAAGCTTATTTAAGAATAAGCAATAATAAATAAATAAAAGGCAAAAAAACAAGCAATGAACAAGCTGTGAAATTTCTACCAGGTAAAAATCTAAAAAAAAAATTGACATCTATGCTCACAAAGAACAAAAATTTTTATTCCATATATCCTCTGTAGATGCTGTAGCAATCTCTTGTGCAGGGATCGATTAGTTTAGTCTGCTGTTTAGTCTGGACGTTCATTTCTGGTCCTGGAGAAGTGAGCATGTCTTATAGAATGTTCCATGTTACATGCATAGCTCGTAAATTAAATCTTCTAATTTGCTCTCATTTGGGATTATAACGTTTTAGACTGTGCTGCTCCAGCAGGTGGTTTCCTCCAACTTTATCAGAACCCTCACAGAACATTAGCGGCGCAGCTACAAGCCAAACTATGTCCACACGACTAAACTGTTTGGTTCCTTATCTTCAACTACACCATTTGCTTGTGTCCTCCATCTCTTTTTTATGTCTCTTACTTTTATCGATCATGTAACCTGTTACCTGCAGCAGGCAAACCTACAATAACATTAGCTGTTAGCAGAGTAGCACTGTTCATATCAAAGGTGTACCAACCCGTTCTCATAGGTCTATCGAGGAAAAGTAATTTCAAAATGTATTTTGCTATCATTTTGTCACCCAGCCCTTAATACGGTACTCAATCAAAACACATAATAAAAAAATGTTTTCAAAGACTTTCATTTTATTACATTTATATTTATTTTTGAAAATAAAATTCCCAGCTGACCAATGTATATAAATCTAAAAACAGCCTTTTAAAGTTTTTAAAGAATTTTTTTTTGTGTGCAGTCTTTGTAAATGATAAATATGCTGGTGCCGACCCTTGGTGCACTGATTGAGAACCCCTGCTTTAAAGATTCTCTAATAATAAAGCCTTATTTTTCCTAGAAGGGGGAAAAAATTTTCACACAAAGATCATTTTATGATGAGATATGACCTCTTTATGGTAATTATGGTCAATTCTACCAAACTGAAGAGTTGTAGTCAAGTTATGACCATTAATGTCGATCAGCCGAGGTGGCCATCTTGAATCTGATTGACTCCAGAGTTATTCAGTTGTTGATGTACATCCAATGACCATTTTTTGACAGTTTCTTTAAAAAGTGTAGTTTTTTTTTTTAGATTTTAGGCTAACACCCAAAAATATTAATGACATTTTAGCAGCTGATAACATCTTAATTGATCATGTTTGATTGGTGGTTTCAAAATGGTGGAAAACCACAGGTGTAATACTCACCTGTTCTGTTACTCATTTAATCAAGTATGACTAGTAAAGCATTTGATAGCCACAGTTATGGTCCCATCTCTACATCTACATGTCGTTATAGACTTTTTCTAGCGTTTTAGTCTAAAATAGATTTATAATAAATCACATGAGCATTCAGGCTGCCTGTCTTCAGCACCCTGGAGGGTTTCCGGTGGAGTCTAAAGACCCAAAGCCTCGGCTCCTAGCTGGAGTGGTGCAGCAGGTGCTTGCAGGAGGCCAACATGGGGCCTCAGGTAATTCTATCTAAGATAAGGATCACTTTAGGTGCTGCTCCACTAAATCTGTATTTCAGCGTACGTCTGTTTTAAACGTTTTAATTACTGCAGCTAAGATTGCAAATATCATATGTCACCAACATGCTCCGACACAGATAAAGTGCCGGTCTGATTACCCCTGATAAACCATTGGGAGGGATGGATGTTCCTCTCTCTCTCTCTCTCTCTCTCTCTCTCTCTCTCTCTCTCTCTCTTTTTTTTTTTTTTTTCTCTCACTCACTCACTCACTCCCTCACACACACACACAGTATTTGTTACAGGTTGTGTTAGTAAAACTACATGCTAAGGCTACAGGTGATTTATTACCAATGACATGAAGTTTTAGCACCAAAACCAATAAGAACCTTATCTTTTTCAACAATAAATTGGAGTTCACTTATCATTTGCCCAATGTGTGAGAAGCATTGCTTAATTTTTGGCAGCACTGAACTGTTGTGGCGTTGATGAGTAATTTTTTACAACGCTCAACGCTCTGATCACTGCGTTTATTTCAGCTGTAAATACTGGTGTGATGGATCCTTTCCAGTCTGAATGGGATGTTTGTGTTGGTCTGCTGAAACATGAATTGGTGCATGTCTAGTACAGACATGGTTACATATTAAAACGTAGTATTTGGACTTTGTCCTCATATGAATGCGTTTTATGTTATTAAAAGAACAGATGTCTCAGTTCCCTGATTCGTTGTCAGGTAGCATCTCGTTTGCTCTGAATATCACCAAGAAAACTAGAAAATCAGTGGGTATGTCATAAATACTGAGAATGAGATGATTTTGTGTCTGAGCGTGTGCTGAAGACATGGGAGGGACCTCCTGCAGGGCGTCCATCCCCAGGAGGTCACAAAGTATCTGCTAATCAAACGGCTTCAGGGCCGTGATGGAATTAACCTCCTAAGTCTTTTGCCAATAAAATCCATAGCTCTGTAAATATGTTATGAAATAAATCCTAATTGGTTTGTTTTTGTACCTGCAGCTGTCCCGTTTCCCCCAAGCCACCGGCTGACAGCTAAAGAGGTGTTTGACAGCGATGGGAAGCCCAAAGTGGACGTTCTGAAGGCTCACCTAACCAAGGAGGGCCGGGTGGAGGAGTCAGTGGCCCTCAGGCTCATAGGAGAGGGAGCCTCCATCCTACGTTCAGAGAAGAACCTGCTGGACATTGAGGCCCCCGTGACAGGTCAGAATCAAGATAAGTCTGTATCCTCAAACGCAATTTAGATCCCGCTATGACCCAGTAGAGCTCAGCTGAATCATAGTAAATTTGAAAAACCCTCCCTTCAGTCACAGCTCACAGGATTTGGACTCAAGGTTTAAGGCAACACAGAAATGAGCAAATTATAACATTTTAAGGGAAATCTGAAACTGCGTCTGAACTAGAACAGGCCATGTCTGGTCTGCACAACGGTTTGTGGCTGCACGAGGCTTGTGGGCTGCTTGAAGGATGAAGAGGATCTGGCATCAGCGCTTATACCCTGGGGAGCACGTGGTGTCGAAAACCGAGTCCTAGATGAACATGGTTGATTAGGTGCAGACAGGCATAAAAACAGTCCACGAACTAAAATCGTGACACTCAGAGTACAGCAACCATGGTCCTCTTCTCTCTGATAGCAGGGCTGTGGCCATTTAATGACAAATACAACATTTGCAAGGAAGTTTCTAAAGTGTCTGAAAAGGTTTTCAAAAGGCGTCTGGAACCTTGCTCAGTCTAGTTGCCTTGACAGCTTTGGGAAGTGTTGGTGACAAGTTAGGGTAAATAGCAAAAGTAAATTACACAATAATCAGACCTAAGATAAATCTGAAACCATCTAGAAATCAGATCTGTAAAAATAAAAAGACCTTTCTTCGGTTGTGACTTTTTTCACGTTCCTGCTCTTATTTTGTTCTTCTATTGAACAGCTGTTACCCTTTCTTCTTCTGTGTGTCCGTTTTCAGGTTTCTGCTCGGTTACTCTGAGCCAGTTAAAGGGATTGGGATGTTGACTGGAGCTGTTTTCACATTAGAGAATATCTGGATTATATGCAGAGAAGTGGTGCATGGTTTTTCCACAGATGCTGTTCACAAAAGCGTTTCTCAGCTGGAGATTCTGTGCTTCAGATGCATTTTCTCAAGAAATGCACCAAAGTGACTCGTGGGCAGAGCTGTAATTAGCTGTAATTTTTATCACCGTTAGGTGTTTTTCTCCTCCTAATCTGTACCCTACCTTGAAAAAAAAACAACATTCTGAAAGAAAAATAAAAGAATGAACTTCTCCTGCATCCTGATTTCAGTTACCTATAGTGAACAAAGATGTCGTCGTCGATGCAGTGCTTCTATTGTTGTCCTCCTCCCTGGTCAAGTGTGCTGTTCCTCCATTAGACTTTCTGATGAGGCTCTTTGATGTTGGTTTAATCAGAGGCAGAGTCCTACTCAGGGGATCTATGGCAACCCATCATTTCTAAATACAAGATCATTTCCACAGTATGGTCCAGAGAGGACCGTGTTCACATTTGGCAGGAAATGTACTCACTTAAATTCATGAATGCATGACCCTCGTGGGCCTTCAGTCTCTATTAAGGCCATCATGCTGAGAGAATGTTTGGTCTGGCTGTTTTGAGACAATCAGCAGAAAAGTTTCCCTAGATTCTGTCTGTTTCTTTTGTTAACAGATGTTTACATGCAGATGATTCACTGTGAGATTAGTAATTGTTAAGATGTGCTGCCTGAAACTCTAAATTCATTCATTATCTCATTAAAGGTCAACTTTATTCATATTTATAATACATTTGCAGTGGTCTCTAGTAGGAATGAATGCCTTGTAAGTCATACTCTGGGGAAAAAAAGCTCAGGTGCACCAGTTTGAGGACGAAGAACTCAGCCGAAGGTGAAAGTAGCTTTAGACGACAGGCATTGGAGTCTTATTTCCTCATATTTGGACATCTTGCTTCTGACTGGATAACAGCAATGCAACTCTACCACAAACTCAGCTTGCTCTGCAACATTGATGTTTTATCTCCACAAATAACACAATCCTGGAGGAATTCTGCTGAGTGGTGGAGTTACTAATGCTAACTGTTAGCTTCTGCTAGCTGAGATGTTCTCTGCTGTTTCCTGGACACTAAACCAAGTCAAGACAGGGGAGTCTATGAATGTTAGGAGACAGTGTGACATATATCTGCCAGGATTTTCTGAACCGAGCGTTTTTCCATCTATTTTTTATCAGAATCTGATGCAGGAAATAGGGTTAAAAGACCATTCTCACCTTCAGCCTGCATGTTAAACTCAGAGTGACTGATTATTTTAAAAAATAATAAGTGAAAAAAGGGTTGTCAGTGAGCCTGCTCTTTAAGATGAACGCAACCACGTGGTGATTAAGGTTGGATAAAGGAGATTCTTAAATCTTACTTTATAGAAATGCACCGATTATTGAGTAGATGACTTGAATCTGGTGATTTTCTGTTTTGTTTTATTTTGTTTGAAAGGTGACCAACAGATTCTACACTCTTAAGTCTTCCTATCTGGGGAAAATGTTTTGCAACATCTTAAAGACGAACATAAAACTGAAGTTACAAGAGATGTTCTTTGGATGTCTGCTGCTCATATTAGTGCTCAGAAACATGAAGTCCGAGGATTTCCCTTTATAGGATCTGCCGACAAGTAAACGGATGACATATTTAGGTTTAGTTCCCTTTTAGAAATGCATTGATTCTGGATTTTAGAGCCGATTAACTCCTCAAGATTACTGCTCTGACCTGCAGATACTGATTTTGAATTATACCAGTGTATCTCAGAACTGTAATTAACGCAATCCGACACTTGAACTTGATCTTTAGGATTCTGAAAGATCATGAAAGATCTGCATTTATTTTTCTCATTTTGCATGCTTGCTTGAGGCTTCCGTGGCGCGTTCATAAACAAAAATAAAATTGGCGAATCCCCGATTAGGCAGATCCTTGTTGAATTTGAATTTTCCATTCACTGTAAAAAATTATTTACGTATTTATTCAAGTGCATCTCAGTAACTTCTTGATATTTGCAATTACCAAAAACAAGCATGAATACAAGAAATAAACGTAAACAAATGAATGAATAAATAAATAAATATTGAATTAATTTAAATATTGTTTGCGAATGATAAGAAAATGAGGAATGAACAATTTTAGAATTTTTTTTGTGTTTAGAGTTTAAAAATTTTCAGCAACCCCCACCACCACCAGCCCCCAAAAAGGTATGATCTCACCACCTTCCTGAATGGCCATAGTTCAGAGAAATAGTTTCATATGATGAGCTAATGGCTCGTCTGAATTTTCCAGCAATTTGTGCAACAACTGCTAGTTTTTTCTATAATGTTTTTAGCAAACCTTCAGACCACTGGTAGTTTCATATCACTGATATTTTGGCAGAAACATGAAGAGAATGCTGCAGGACCGGGCCTGCTGGATGCATCACAAGTGTTACATTGTGCAGATGATACTCATGCTTGTGAACAACCGGAGAACTCTGTGTAATGTGAACTTACAGGTTTTTAATAACATTGCCTAAACTGCTGTGACACTTTGTGACCCGCTGGTTTGACCCAATCAGGGTTAGTTTGAGTAAACATCCCCTAATGCCGACTTTCCCTGCTCTCGTGTTCTTTCCAACTGTCCAAAGCTGTGTTTTGTGTTTTTATAGCTCTGGTGCTGGAGGAGCCACTGACCCTCCTCCTGTTGTTTCACACAGAAACAGTGGACAGCTTCTGTTGTGCGTGCTCGCCGTAGATCCCGAGGAGCAGGGTGTCTGTTTGTGTTCATCCACGGGTGTGTGCGAACGCAGCAGTGAAGCACTTCTTGCCCTCCCACTCGGCAACCTCGTCTCAACCTCTTCTCCCACTCGCTCGTCTTTTTTCAACAAGAGTTTCTCTTCGTCCTTCTGCTGCCGCAATCCCTCACACTTTCTCTTCCTCCCTCAGTTGGTGTAACTTTCCACTCATGAGGTGTTTCTGCCCCTCTCCGTCAGCCATGACACGTGGTCAGCAAATTAGTATGTAAATATTTATCATGGATGCAAAGCGCCATGACATGTCAGCTATCTCTTTCTCTCCCTCTCTCTCTCTCTCTCTCTCTCTCTCTCTGCAGCTCACGCTTGTACACTCACTTCCTTGTTGGTCCAGATGGCAGGTGGGGTTTTTCATGGGTGACAAACGGAGCTGGCTGAGGCTACTGAATACAAGCTGCTCCCTTGGCCTTCACTAAAATCAGCCTTCAGGAGAGCCTTAATACCTCATCACCAAGCAACAAGCTTTTACGCTTCTCATGAGTGTCTGAGTGTGTGTGTGAGCTCCAGTGACAAATCTGCAAAGAATATGAATCCCTCTTTACTAGATTTTAAGATGCTATACATACAAAAGAAAAAAGAAAAAATATGATTGGTGTGGTTCTCTTGCATTTGTCTAAAAACCTTTGACAATAATGCGGCTCGGACCGAAACCAACCATTGGGCAATCGGGATGCAGGGTGAATTTTTGACAAGAAGTTTTTATTTAGTTTTAGTCTGTTGACTAAAATTCATTTTTATTTCAGTCACAATTATTCATCCAATTGAAAAAATTTGTTTTACCTTTCATAGTAACGTTTCGAACACTACCGCGGTTTTTGCATAGTATTGTTTTTGCTATCTTTTGTTTTACTATTAATGAATATTATTAATTATTCACAGTGTATGATTAGTTCATGTTAATTTTACAGGTATACTTTAAATTTATTGTTTCAAACTTCTAATCACTTGTTGCCCTTGTGGGAGCAGACATCTGGACTTGAACCGCCAGTCATCTGGACAGAAACCACACCACATTTGGCGGCTTGGCCTGTGATTATGTTTGTGTTTAAAAGCTAGCATGTTTTGTACATTTGCCATTGCAGCTGGACTAGTTCCACAGGTTGCAATCATTGTATCGTACATATGCATTGGCACTTCCTGTTCTGCCCTACTTTGATAGGGAGATGTTTCCAGAACGTACCCAACCTTATCGTTATTGATGTATATGCCTGATGGTAATGATGGTAATTTTGGGAAAATCCACATTTGGCTGAACCGGAACTGCCAAAGCATGTGTTAAATACATATATGGCATCCTGTTTAACTAACCTACTAGCCACATTTTTGTGACATGATATTTTTAGAAGCACTGAGTAGTCTAAAACTTTTAAATGTGAGAGGGCA